CTGTCTTCAGGTGTTCTGGTCCATCTGTCTTCAGGTGTTCTGGTCCGCCTGTCTTCAGGTGTTCTGGTCTGCCTGTCCTCAGGTGTTCTGGTCTGCCTGTCCTCAGGTGTTCTGGTCCATCTGTCTTCAGGTGTTCTGGTCCACCTGTCCACAGATGTTCTGGTCCATCTGTCCTGAGGTGGTCTGGTCCACCTGTCATTAGGTGTTCTAGTCGACCTGTCTTCAGGTGTTCTGGTCCATCTGTCTTCAGGCGTTCTGGTCCACCTGTCATTAGGTGTTCTGGTCCACCTGTCCACAGGCATTCTGGTCCACCTGCCTTCGGGTGTCCTGGTGCACCTGTCCTCGTGTATTATGGTCCACCTGTCCTCAGGTGTTCTGGTCCACCTGTCTTCAGGTGTTCTGGTCCATCTGTCTTCAGGTGTTCTGGTCCACCTGTCCTCCGGTGTTCTGGTCCACCTGTCATTAGGTGTTCTGGTCCATCTGTCTTCAGGTGTTCTAGTCGACCTGTCCACAGGCGTTCTGGTCCACCTGTCTTCAGGTGTTCTGGTCCACCTGTCATTAGGTGTCCTGGTCCACCTGTCCTCAGGTGTTCTGGTCCACCTGTCCTCAGTTGTTCTGGTCCACTCCTCATCAGCAAACTGCTCCAGCTGTTTCAGGTTTGAAAGGTTCCTTCTCCAGATATTTCTGCTCCTTCCACAGATGTTCAACAGGATTTAGATCAGGGCTCAGAAGGTCACCTCACAATGGTCCTGTATTTGGTTCTAGATGTTCTGGGATGTTTTTTGCTGTGTTTGGGCCATGATCCTGTTGGAGGACCTATGACTGACACAGAGAGCCTTGATGACACCTTGTGTCAGATACAGCAGAAGCGAGCCTGCTCCGTGTTTCACTGCTGGTACAGGTGTGACCTCAGCTGACCTGTTGTCACAAAGTTTCAGTTTGAGCTCAGATGTTGAAAGGACGGAACATAGACATTTTGTAGTTTCTGTAGTTTCTGTAGTTTTAACTTATTCCAGTCTTGCAAAGGTCCTGGAAGTGGCCCATTGACCATGAGGCCCATAGTTTCAGAACATGCTGTGACTCTGGTTGCTCATTTCTTGTCATGTTTCTGAGGTTCCTCTGTTCCTACAGGTCTGATTGGAATCAATGGGTCATTATCAGACTTCTGCAGAGCACAAACAGGTAATTAAAATGTTGAATCAGGTGTGCTGGAGCTGGGGAACTAATTAAACATGCAGGATGGTGGCCCTCAAAGACCAGGATTGGACACGTATTATTTAGAGAGCGAAGACACAGACAGGCTCTTCTGGTTCATCTCGTTCTAACAGCTGAGCACTTTTTATCCCATGAAGACAGAAAGAGTCACCTCAGAGTGGGAGGAGGGAAGAGTGACATATTTAGGGAATCTAAGCACAGCTCCGCCAACAAGAGGACCCAGAGGGGAATTTCCTCATAATTGCACGCATCATCACCCCCTGATGTGAGCTGGTTTGTAGAACCTCCAGGTGACCCAGTTTCTCGTCTTCACTGAACAAATCTGTCTGGGTTTAAAACTTGCCTTCCAAATGCTCAGTGAGCCCTCACCCCGACCGTTTCTCTTCAGGGATGTGACAGAATGCAGTTTGATGCTGTTTCTGTTGGTTTGCCAACAGTTAGCTGAAGATCAGCTGGATGTTCATTGATGGATGGACATGATTCAGAAGGTGCTGCAATAAATGGACCCAACAACTCAGCTGGAACACAGGAGCGTTCAGTTTATAGAGACAGTAAATTTACTATCCATCCATTAATCCATTCATCGATTCATCCATCCATCCATCCATCCATCCATCCATCCATCATCTTCTGCTTATCAGGTCTCTGGGGCAGCAGCTTGATCAGGGTTCTCCAGACATCTCTTTCCACAGCCACCTCTTCCAGCTCTTCTGGGAGGAGTCCAAGGTGTTCTCCGGCCAACTGAAAAACGTAGTCTCTCCAGCGTGTCCTGGGTCCTCCCCGGGGTCTCCTCCCCATTGGACATGCCCAAAGTGCCTCCCTAGAGAGGTGACCAGGGAGGATCCTTACCAGATGCCCAAACCACCTCAACTGGCTCCTCTCGATGTGGAGGAGCAGCAGTTCTACTCTGAGTCTCTACTCATAACTGCACTTCTCACCTTATCTGTAAGGGAGAGTCCAGCTACCCTGCAGAGGAAACTCATTTCAACCGCCTGTATCCACGATCTCGTCTATGACCATAGGTGAGGGTAGGAATGTAGACTGTCTATTAAACAGAGAGCTTTGCCTTACAGCTCAGCTCCCTCTTCACCACAACGGACCGGCACAGAGTCCGCAATACTGCAGATGCTGCACCAATCCATCTGTCAATCTCACGCTCCATTGTTCTCTCACTGAACAAAACCCTGAGATTCTTGAACTAATCCACTTGAGACTGAACCTCACCTTTGACCTGAAGAGAACAATTCACCCTTTTCCAACTGAGGGAATTTACCTGGAGGTTAAATAATGTGATTTGTGATATTTGCAGCAAATCAAATTTTATCTCACTCTACACCTGTGCTATTCAACTGGCCACCCGGGGGCCACGTCCAGCCCACAGTTGAGCTGGACCACCCGTGAGTTCATTTGAAAGGAAACTAGTCTTTAAATCTGTGAGAAACATTTAAAAACCCTTAAATGACAAATATTTCTGTCCGACAGAGTTGTACATGTTGAATGGTTCATTTAAATGAAAACAAAGTTTTAAATTGTGAACAAAAATCTAATTTACATAAAGACAAGAACTGCCAGATATTCAGCCCCTGAGCAGTTGGGTTGAATAGTTGTACTCCACACTAAGGTTTACCCAGAAAATTATAATGTTAAAACAAATGTAACCTTATGAGCACTGTTTAGATGACACCTCGCCCTCGATTAAGACGGACTCTTTCCCTCTCCTGCCTCCCTCCTGCTTTTGTCCTGTGAATCTCAGAGCCTCTCTTTACGCATCTTCTGATCGAAAATTTATTATGGATCTGGTCAGCTGGTCTATCAAAGCAAATGATAAAATTTTCTCGACTAGAAGACAGGGTGCAGGAGAACCCTCGTACCCTGAAGGGACACACGCAGCTGGATATGTCATGGATTCCTGGAGTGAATGGACAATGATGTGCCTGACTGTGCTGTCTGTTGAGGATGTATAAGACACATACATAATTTGATTTATGATAACAGGGTGTCTGCTTTTTGGAATCTATTTATTTATTAACCTTTATTTAACCAGGGAAATTCCATTGAGATCACAGATCTCTTGCAAGGGAGGCCTGGGCCTGAAAGCAGACTAACAGGCTTGTTTTTGGTCTGTGGGAGGAAACTGGAGTACCCGGAGAAAACCCATGCATGCACGAGAAGAACATGCAAATTCCACACAGAAAGACCCCAGGTCCAACCGGGGATTGAACCCAGAACCTTCTTGATGTGAGGCAACAGTGGTTTCCGTGGATACCTGGGATATCAACTAATTAGGAAGATGTGGGCAGCAGTTTTGGCAGTAGTAAAGCTGCCAGCCTTATGTGAAGGATTGAACCGTGCTTCGAGCGCTCAGACTCATATGCGTTGCAAGCTGAATAAGCTGGACACAGTCTTTGAGAATCACTTGCAGCTCGTAGGACTCGCCAGAATGAAGGAATCGACCTTGGAGAAGGATAACAAGCACGGACCGGCGGAATGTCCACAAACCTGGCTGGTTGGATTCACCACTGAGTGTACCAGCAGAACTGAAGGCAGACATGTCAGTAGAGTCTGCCTCCCCAAAACAATTGTTGTTTATCTGAATCTGGCCTCCCTGCTGGCCTTGGATTGGCCATCTTATTTCAAATTGCTCCTGGTGGATATGTAAATAATGCTCCCACCCCACACAAAGAACATCTGTGGACCCTTATCAGAGTGGACTGGCTGAAAGACAC